TTAGTGGCATAAGAGCCATTTCGCCGTTTTCCATGCATTAACAAATGAGAAGTGCCGTACATTCTTTCGTTTTGGTTGTGGTTGCAGCTCAATCCACCGTCATACTTACGACCCCGTTTCGTATAGCGCCCCGGGCGCCAGTGTTAGATTATTGTTTCCACAGTGGTTGGAAAAAAAATTGATCTCTATATATTACGTCTCACGAACGACATGACGCGTTTTGTTGTTGCTACGGTCGGTGAAAATATCTCCCGTTTTTTCTTAAATTAAAAGAAAAAGTTACGTATGCTAGTCAACAGAACGTACATATTTTAGACAAACACAACCCATAAATTATATCTGCTTGGCAAAAATCGTCGTGTACGGCGGAAGATGATGTTTAATTTACACTGTAAACCACAATATAGAATTTTTATTATTTATGGCATCATTTAGTGGAAAATTAGGCAAATGAGCTCAACAACCACAAAGAATAACAACTAGAAACGGAATAATTATGCATAAGTATGGAACGTAGTCTGCCTCCTCGGTATACAAAACTACTAAATTTTTATACCAGCGGTTAGTAATTATGTATAATCTATGGTTAGTACATAGGCAGTTTGCTTTGTCATTGGCCCAATTAAACTTGAATCCTTAATCAATGCGTCTTTTATTATGTTGTTGTTTTGTATGGGCGTTGTTCCAGTGTTTTGCCTAGGGCGCCAATTTTCATTGGGCCGGCGTTGCCTACGTGCCGCACATTAAGTTAAACAGAAAGAAAATTAAATCGAATAATACAGTTGTATGAACTTTATTATTATTACATTATGATTTTACAATAACATTAATTTACATATGTGTAATAAATAAATGCTCACAATAATAAAATGACATCAAATTATCAGTAAAAAGCAAATAATATTTTAAATTACAGTGTACGTTAATTAACCTAACAATAGTAAACATAATAAGGGACATGAAAATGGACAAACAAATAACTTGTCAAGCCCGACACCTATTGTGGTATGACTTGCATTCTGATATAATATTGTGAACGATAACAGTACTGCTTTTATAAAATATATATAGGTATGTGTTAATAAAGACTTAAATAATGTATTACTGATTAAAGATTGGGGATAAATATGTTGCGCGAATCTTCTTTTTTATAGTCACATTAATAGCTTTTAACAAAAACAACAGCTGCAATGGTGTGTATATTTATTATTGATGATTGTTGATAAATAAAACTGAATGATATGGATAATACTTTGTACTTTTTAAAACCAATACTGAAAGGAATGTTTGGTAATTCACGCTTTCGAACTTCAGGCCACGTGGTATGTGTGAATGTACATTATGAACAACAACGCTTAACCTCATCTCAGCTTAGAAAGATTTCTAACAAACCTACTGGATGACGGCAAACCAAGCCATAATAAAAAAAAAACACAAATACAATTCACGTACACGATTAAATCAGATTAACATTTTCAATAGTAATATAAATATTAATAATGAAATATATACGAGCTAAAGATGTAATAGTTACTAACCAAACTTTGTTATAGATAACTTAAACTGCGACTAAGTAACAACAATGTCTCGAAACGATTTAAATTAAAAATATATATTTATATATATATAGCACAAAATATTATCAATATGAATATTGCTTTCAAATAACATTTGTTTATTATAGTGAAACAACTCTCAAATACAAACAAACGATAATCACTCAAAATACAAAACACAAATTTATTACGATATATCAATTGACAGTCTTCAATTATAATGAAAACTACATTGATACTTTTTCATTTTCATTTAGGGGTGCGCCCGCCTAACTCTAGCGAATATTATGGCGATATTTAACTTCATTTAACTCCTTTCAAATCCATAACCGTAATCATTCTTTATCATTCGTTAATTGTTATAAAGTACTTATCAAAGTAGTAAAATGATACGAAATATCCCCATAACACCGCTATGATGTGATATCCTACGGCTAGAGTTCGGCGGTCGCACCCCTGCGGTCGTGTTATGGAATTACATATAGTGAAAATCTATCTGATATTTCACAGTCATAACCATTGCTGCGATCCGCGTACTTTAATTATCTGAATTTAAAATAATCAATAAACAACCGATGATTCACGATGAAACCTATTTAAAATACAATTTTGGTTTCCATATATTCACTACAGTGGACAATTCGCTAATTTACTACCATTATTATATTATTTCATAACATTTATTATTGTGTAAATTGGCTAGATGGTATACGGCTGAATACACAAGATTTAGTTAAATGGCATGATTATATCACTGGATGAAAAAATATTACATGACTAAATTTGCTGTCGATTACACGTCTAATGTCGTTATAATGGTCGAACATTGTTAAATCTATAGTTTCGTAAATCTAATTTTCCTTCATCAAAATGAGAGATATCAAAAGATAAATGATTACATTTCAACTATTTTTGCTTTGGAAAGGGATACAGTAATGATACGATATTTCGTTGGAGGGTATGTAACGAAGGATAAGGTAAAAAACGTTTTTCGTAAATCAATTGTTTTAGGATTTTATCCAATGGAACACAGTAACCGACGTTAGGTTAGGTTCAAACTGTGCTCAGATATTTTTTAGCTCTTATTTTCAGTGCACCGTTACATACCCTCAAACCCAACAATACCTTCTCAAGAAATCTATTTTAATCGTTATTAAATTTTCTTTTTAATAGTTAGAGTACTGTGCATTTTATCTTTCGTGCTCATTTATTATACAAGATTAATAAAGTTTAAATTTAAATACCGATCAACTTTATTGATGGGGCAAGATTAATTTAACAGAGTCGTTTTTAAAACGTGCCTATAAGGTTAAGGTTATATCGTGCCGGCACGAAAGTAAACTCAAAATGACGCAATTTCTTGTAAGCTTATTACGTTAAGCCACACTGTGATTCGTCCCCTTAGCCTACCTCGGAGGTATGTTGTTGTATCTGTGAGGTAGGATAAATTTAAAAACGCGGCAAATTTCGGACAATAAGAACTGACCCCCCATCTAATGAGTTGTATTCTACACTTTATAGTTAATTCAACAAGATTCACTATAAATTTTACCGTGAATACGGTAATGGTTGGAATCGGCGACTTTGTTAGTTTCCTAAATATATTAACCGCCTTTTAAGTAAGCATGTTTACGTACGTTTTTTTAAGCTTTAGTCGTTCTTTAAATATTATTTTAATATTCCTCGTGCAAGTTTTACTTTCGTACCGGCTACAGTACGTCACTCGTCGTGCATACATCACACAATAATCACAGCACAAACCGTTTTAACATTATTTTTAACATTCAGAGCTACCGAATCTTATTTAGAACAACGCAATTTACGCAACCAAAATGAAGAGATTCATAATAAACATGTTTATTAAAAACATGAGCTACTTAATATAATCTAATGTTATCAATAGCATGCAAAAGAAACAACTATGCACCACAAATTCAAGTTTACTACTATATATAAAATAATCAAAATAGGCGAATTTAATAAAATCTAGAATGATCAGGTGCATCGTGTGTTTTTTTTTTCTAACATTCATTATAATTTATAAGGAGTTTGCTCAATCGATATTGCTTGAAATGGCAAAAAGCTAATTGCTTTTAAAACAGCATTTTAGTTTTGTGAAATTGCAAAGTCAATTAGCAAGCAAAATATTTTAATAATAAGTGATTGTCGACATTACTTGCTAATGGACTAATTAGGAATTATTATGCGTTTCCTGTCGTCCATTTTAATTACAACTTTTGACATAACCAATTTGCGTTTTTTATGCTTTTTACCCTGTTTCTGGCGATATCGTATGCCATATTGTCATGTTTTTAATCGTTACGGCGAAGGAATACCTCATTGGACGTTTGATAAGACACACACATAGGCCATTAAAGTAATATTTTATAGAAAAATGTAATACGAAATTAGGAATAACATTTGATCGTACAGACATGGTCAAAATATTAGTTACAGGAGGTTCTTCAGCTGTGGAAACTCCTTCCATAAACATATTTGAGCCGCAAAATTATCGTTCGCTCGCTGGATGGCTTTCAGTGCAATTTGATCCTTTTTTACAATGCCGAATTTTCTAAAGTAGCTTGAACGTGTTGTGTATGAGAGAACTACAAACCCGGATTTGTAGCTCCCTCATACAGACGGATTTGTAGCTTTCCCATACACTTATGACCGTGTGCGGCAATCTTATCTCTTGGAGGAGCTCTTTATCTGTTGTAGTTTAAGTCTGAGCGCGTCTACTGCTGCTTCGTTTCTCGGTGAGACGGCTTGTGTTGTGTGCAACTGAAAAAAAAATGATGGCTGCTTTTATATTTATTTATAAAGTATCGTTAGCACAGTCAAATTACCTCAACATCTTTATTCATAGTTTAGATAAAAAGAACTGATTTATCTGTACATATAACTAAAATCGAAGTGTCTGTTTGCAACATTAAAACGCTTTTTACTAAATGTTATTTATATATGTTTAGATGGTACATATACCAAAATATAATTGTTCACATTTTTTGTCTCTCTGTCAGTTTGTTAAAACGGTCCGGCTAAAACGGCTGGTTCGATTTTGACGGGCTTTCACTGGCAGATATATAATATGCAGTGATTTAGGCCAGGGGTCGGCAACCTTTTGAGTCAAAAGAGCCAAAAGTTACAATTTACAACATTTTTAAGTTTTTAAGGAGCCACAAAATGTTTTTATGCCTACAATAAATAAGTAATGTAGTCCTACTCTTACTGACATCGACTTACTGCGCAGGACTTTGCTTATTGTGACCAACTAGGTTTCGCATTCTTAGAGTTCACTCTCTCTTCCTTCCACTCTCTATATCCGATGGGACGGTTGACCGACACGACCGGTGAGAGTTACAAAGTTACAACACTAATTTGTACTTCAATAGCCTCGTCCAGACTGAGCGGGTGTAAAGCGGGTACAAGCAAAGACTATGTGGCTGAGAGATAGAAGTGGTGCCGAATCTTTGTTAATCGATTCAGAAAGTTTTAAAATGATTTTTCTTATATAAAATAAATAATATTTGTGTTCGGAACTAAAGAGCCGCAGCTTCCCAGCCAAAGAGCCGCAGGTTGCCGACCCCTGATTTAGGCTATTTCACACGGGGACGAAGTCGCGAGTACAGCTAGTACTTTAAAAATATACACTAACTTCCAATTGTGGATCGATGCTATGCGGCCGCGGCAGGGTGTTCTCGTTGATGGTATCAGCGATACTCCTGTTGTCGCCCATGGGCGTACGAGGTTGAGACGACGGCGCCGAGTCACTCTTTAGACCCGCTTTCGCCTGTAGCAATAACGACGGCGAATATCAAAATAAGTACCTACTAAAAATCAATATTTTAAAATGTTCCTGGTGGAATTCGAAACCCGTGGAATGTGTATTTATTGAATTCGTATAGAATCAAATAAAATGGACTCGACTTCAAGTTTCATCAAATGTGTTCGATGTTCAATACAGTAATTTAACATGTTGAGTGCATTTTCATCAAATTAAGTATCAACCGCTCGGTACCCGGTAGGCGTGATGTGACTATAAAATAAAAATACTAAAAAAGTCACCAGGAACAGACGCGGGAGGACGATCATCATTAAGTTACCCGTAACCGCGAATTTCTCAAGTACTGTGTTAGTTTAATTGTCAATGATCTCGCCAAGCTCTCTGGTAGCTTCATTTGTAGAGCATTCGTCCAGTTACCGAAAGGTCATTCAAGGTTAATACCATCTCAAGCGCCTTACGCTCAATTTCCAATTATCAAATTAGATTTACGGTTGGAAAATGTCAATTTTCACAAAAAACAAATAACACTTACTTGAAGAACACGCAATCGTTCTACGTAAGTGAGATATGATATCTCATCATTTTCATTACTGATATCTGAAAAAAATATATTTAATTTAATTATCTGGTTAGTTATAATCATTGAATTTAAAGATCATTATTTAGTAGAGTTATTAATTACAATCGTATTTTGGAGAAACACGCTCTTCTTCAAGTCGCCAAAAGTTTACTCAAGCACAACTTATGGAAATGGGAAGTATGTTGTATAATAAAATTAAAAAAAGACGGACGAGGACAATAACACTAACCTATGTTGTCAGCCTTGTAGTCGTGTTTGTATATCGGCATGGAGGACATTTTTCTCTGTTCAGCTACTTCCCTGAGGCCGCGCTCCACGTAGTTGCGGAAGTAGAACGAGGAGCCCTGCATGAACGTCCAGATGTCTACTTCCGGGTGACGCTCCTGTACATTATATATGAGAACCAGTTTTCAATGTCGTCATTACAAAAATTTTGTTTATTCATATTGGAATAGGTAATGTGCACTTGAATGATATTTCATAAAACAACTATTAATGATACTTTACATCGAGACAACCCTATACTTAATCTTCCATTCCGGTACTTGAGTCAATTTTTTCAAGTATTCTTAAGACACATTAAGACGGCATTGTGATTGTAAAATATTCTATACTAATATCATAAAACTTTATGGTTTGTTTCGTTTGATTGAACGCGCTAAACTCGCGGACTATTGTTTCGAATTGAAGAATTAATCTTGTTAAATAGTCTATTAATTGAGGAAAGCTGTATGTATTTTATGATATCACGCTATGACTAAAGTAGAGCACTAAGAGAGGATTTTTGAAAATTCCACGCCAAAAGGGGGAAAGTTTATATGAAACTTCGTTACTACAAGTGCTATGAGTTTCAAATTTTGCATGCGGGTTCTATTTAGAGCATAGGTGCTCACTAAGACGGGATTTTACGAAATTTGACCATTAAGGGGGTAAATTACAGTATGAAAGTTTCTATGGAATTTTCTCATTTCTGAACTTAAAACTAGACCACGCTGGCGAAGTCGAGTGGCAAAAAACTAGTACTATATATTTCTCAATTGAAAACTATCAGGCATGATTTTTATCTATCTTCTATCTATATAACTCAAAGGTGACTGACTGACATAGTGATCTATTGACGCACAGCCCAAACCACTGGACGGATCGGGCTGAAATTTGGCATGCAGGTAGATGTTATGACGTATCCGCTAAGAAAGTATTTTGATCAATTCTACCCCCAAGGGGATAAAATAAGGGATGAAAGTTTATATGAAACTTTGACAATTTTAAACCGATCGGTTGAGACTGCATGCATTAAGCTACTATGACGTAGGCATCCCCTAAAAAGGATTTTCATAAATTCCACTCCTAAGGGGATAAAATAGGTGATGAAACTTATTTCAGGTATCTTATACGATATAATTAATAAATATTCGTTAGAAATGTTGCTCAAAGTAACTTTACCACAAAAGTCACAAAAGCTAGTAATGCATATAGCAACTGACCCTGAGATCGTATAGTTGCGCGAGCGCATCCTTGTTGTGTTCCTTGGTGCCGATCCGCTTGAGTATGAGCGCGAGTTCGTCGTGCAACGCGCGCGGCAGCCGCCCGGCAGTCAGCGCCGCGTTACTGCTCGCGCCCACGCCCACGCCCACGCCCACCGCCGAGCTGCCGTTTATACCGTCCGTGCTGTTCTCCTTCTTCTCGTCCAATTTCAATTGCTGTTTCACATAATACACGGCACTTAGGTGACGCGGCAAAACGATGATTTGAGGACCATTTTGGTGTAGTATCAACGTTTAAGTCAGGGATATAAAAAATGGATAACAACCTATTTAATTTTAATATATTTTATCCAGTCTAGGCTGTTAAAAGCACCGGTGAATGTCTTAGATCTACTGAATATACGACGGTCAAACTGAAAGTTCTTAGAAAATCAAAAACTGATTACATTAGCCAGTTATTAGTTTTATTATATCTTTTCAAAATATTGTCCATTCACGTCAATACACCGCTGCATGCGATGGAACCACTGGGAAAAGCACTTTGCCCACTCGTCCTTAGGGGTCTCTTCAATGGCATCGCGATACGCGATCAGCATTCATAAACCGCTTTCCTTTAAGTTTTTCTTTAATTTTTGGAAATAAATAAAAATCACAAGGCGCGAGGTCGGGGCTATACGGCGGGTGACCCAGTAATTCAACGTTTGATGTCGCCAAATAGTCGATCGTTCGCTTGGCGGTGTGCGACGAGGCGTTGTCGTGGTGAAGGAGGATCCTACTGCGAGGTCGTTTCTCTCGAACTTTTTCCAAGACAAGTGGCAAACAATTGTTAGTGTACCATTCTGCAGAAACTGTTTTTTGATCCTCTAACACAATTGTTGCAAAATGACCTATCCTTCCAAAGAACGAGGCCACCATTTTTTTTCCCGCACTTCGATCTCTCTTCACTTTAGTTGGCAACTCCTCGAAAGGAAACACCCACTGAGCAGATTGTCTTTTGGTTTTAGGATCATAACAGTAAATCCAGCTTTCGTCACCTGTTAGTATGTCGAACACAGCATTTGAGTCACCTCCGTTAAATCTTTCAATCATTTTACGACACCAATCCACACGATGGAGTCTTTGAGCCTCAGTCAAATTATGAGGTATCCACCGGGCGCAAAGCTTCCTGACCGCTAAATGTTCGTGGAGGATTTTGTGCACTTGACTCATACCGATGCCTAAGCTTGTCCGAATCTGTTGATAGGTCACTCTTTTGTCAGTCTCTATCATACGCCGCACAACACAGATGTTATCTTCAGTCGTCGCCGTAGAAGGCCGTCCCTCACGTAAATCATCAGTGAGATTAGTGCGACCACGTTTAAACTCATTAAACCAGTTGTAAACAGTCGCACGAGATGGGGCTTCATCGTGAAAGGCCAATCGTAGTCTATCATAACTTTCTTGTTGACTTAAATGACATCGAAAGTCATAAAAAATAATTGCACGAAAATTTTCTCGTGTTAAATTCATGATGACGTGACACAGACAATTTTCAATTTGCCGCCAAATCGTAAAACAAATGACAAATGAATGAAATATATACTCAGTAATATTGGCAGAGTTATATTTTCAAATTTTAGAATTATTTTTTTATTATATTGTTTATAAGTGGCCAGTTCTAAGAACTTTCAGTTTGACCCTCGTACATGTGAAATTTAATCAAAATCACTCAAGCCATTTCAGAGGAGACAAGAATTTCATATATTCGATATTTGACAACATTTTTCATACTGACCCGAAGGTAAACACAGAAAGAACATGACAATGATGACTGAACGAGTAGTTAAAATATAGGTTTAGTAATTTTGTATAAAATGAAATATCACTAGCCGTAAATCAATCAGGAATATGGGGACCACTTCCTCATAATTGATGCTAATAGAAACCATACCTAAATCCAAGATACTCTGATAAATATCAATGGATATATTATACTCGTATCTTGACATATAAGATGATATACATCTATTGATATTTATAATATTTATTATTAGTTTGAGTATCGAGTCTCAGCTAGAAAATTAACCAACCCGATTTGATGATGGCAACATTGGAACAAGGTAGCAATCTTACTTATTTAAAGTTTTCCCCTAAATATGAGAGCAAAGTGCGAACAGTTTGTCTTTATTTTTGCTTAAAATTTAATGCTTATGCTTACATAAAAAGGTTTATTATAGTAAGTAAGTAATAGTATTCCCATATACGTTAATGGGAATCTACACATGCATACTACTTTTTAATTACTTCAAATATAGGAAACTCAATCCTTCACACTTTTGATTTAAAAGATCAAATATTAAATAAAACCACTAGCATATATCGGATAAATATCATATATCAGATATTTTGACATGTATTATAAATATAAATTTCGGATTTTTGTGAACCCTGCCTAAACCTGTGCTTATACATGTAAAATCTTAGTGGCCGGTACAAAATTGCGCAAAACCACAACTATCAAGCATGATTTTTATCTACAATGCATACACGCTTACCTTTATAACTTTAAGCAAGTAAGGGTATATGTCTGATTCGTTGACATCAGGTATTTGAGACAGGTGATTCGTTATGGAAACACCCTTCATTTTGACTAGAGTATGCACCAGAGTTTTCACTGTTCTGTAAAGAAAAATCAAACAGATATTTGTATTTATTTTTTTACATTTTCTGAAATGTTATTAATCTTTCTAATGATTGAATGATATGTACAATATAGTCAACAGCAAAACTGACATAATTCAGTATTGAAGTTCAAAATATATTACAGAATGTTGAAATAAAGTAGTAACTCGTTTAGCTACATACGACCCCGGTTTTGACTGTCATATGTAGCTAAATAAATCAACCTGCAGATAAGACATTCCAAATTGGCCAGCAGAAACTTAATAAATTAAGTTACCTGTAAGGTGTATCAGCAATATCCGGGTTCTTCTTCCAAAAGCTGTTCGGATAAGTTTTATAGAACAGATGCAATTTGTAGAGCACCGCATCGTAATCTATTGAGTTCACGTCCCATCCTGTTAGCATCTTCAGGGTCTTCCAGAAACATTTGAGAAGTAAGTCTTGGTAACGTGGGTATTCCGGTTCCGATACTCCGATCGAGTCGTGAAGTAGCGACATTATGGCACTGTGCATAAAGAATTTTATTGTTACAATAAGAGCATTTAGGTGTGATTTTTGTACCTAAATAATTTTCCGTAGAAATCCTTTCACAATTTCTAAGTTTTCTTATCAGTAAACATTCGAAAAAGCTCGTTGTTACTTGTTTTTATATATGATAAAACGTAGTGTTCGACTTTATTCTATAAGGAGAAACAAAAATTTCTAAGGAAGTGTTCTTGAAATACGAAATATTTAAGAAAAAAATGTTTTTCAGTAATAAAACAAAAAATAAACAACAATCAACACACATCAAAACATGATCAGAAATACTAGCACATGAGTCACCAGAAATAGACTACTAGTTTCCACGCCTAAACCACTGAACTTAATAGAGTACCTATATATAGATGGTTTTAATCGCGAAAAACAGTCTTAAGGGATGAAAATACGAGTGCTATATCGTACTTCTAAGAACCTGTTAAAAAGTTTCTAAGCGTTGCTTACTAGCGCCGACACAAGACAAAGACAAAAATAGCCCGAAGAATAGCTCGAGTTAAGACGATCAGGGCTTGAAACTAAATGCGGAGTGAAATTCGGATTGAATAAACCGATTAATTTACTTGGTTCGTAAAACTCAATGTTCTTACGCTTATAATGCGAATTATATCATTTTTAATCGACGACATTTTATACCTGTGTACGGATGTTATAGATAGTAGTAAAGGCACTTAAAAACCGCGCTAAAGTTTGTGAGATCATTGTTTGGAGTCATATTTAAACCGGTTAATGAAGAAAACCGTATTTCTAGTGCACCTGTTTAAAAACCTGTTCAAAGGATCTGAACCTTTTATGTAAAGTTCCGCGTGTACTAACGTCGAACCGGTTCAAAAAATTAACCGGTTTCCAAGGCCTGAGGAGGATAACATAATGTCCTATGATGAGCCATATGTACAGTGAGTGTGTACCCCATTATTTTCCAAGGCCTAAGGAGGATAACATAATGTCCTATGATGAGCCATATGTACAGTGAGTGTGTACCCCATTATTTTCCAAGGCCTTAGGACGGTCACATAATGTCCTACGATGAGCCATATGTACAGTGAGTGTGTACCCCATTATTTTCCAAGGCCTAAGGACGATCACATAATGTCCTACGACGAGCCATGTGAGTGTGCACCCCCATTATACTGACCACACTAGCGGTGTGTGCGGCGAGTGCTCCAGCACGCGCACTGTCACGTTGTTCAGTATGCGCACGAGCCGCTCCGTGTCCGCGCCCCCTCCCGCCTCCGCGCCCGCCTCCGTGCCCAGCACGCGCAGCAGCTCGCCCAGCAGCGAGCACAGGCCGGACTCCTCCACCTGCGCCCCGCAACCGCCGCTCTCGTAGAACTGGTGGGTGGCAAACAATGAGTTTAATAACTAGAGAAGCAATTCCATAACACTTTTCCGAAATCAGGACGTAGCTTTGCAAATAATATTTATACTATATAATATAAATAGGTTTATTATATTTGTCTCCCTCATATCTACGATTAAACTTGAAATTAAACAAAGACAGAATAAGTGCGAACGATATAATGAACGGAAAAATGGGTAATTGATATTGTATTGCCAGCTGTCGAAAATTTCACCCATTATGATGATTGAATGAATGAACGAGTAATGTAGATATATGTATAAAATCAATTAGATATATGTAATGAATACTGTAACTTTGAAAATTTCTTTGAAAAAAACAATCACGAAAGTAGGCTCTGTGCATATAAATCGAATCGTGTTTAAGACAAAAACATTTGTCAAAGTTCATTAAACAAAGATTCAGTTTTACGTATTTTCAAAAGTTGTATCTCGACAACTAACGAATTCCACGCCTTGACAAAATTAAATTAACTTTAAAAAATTAAACCACTTTTGCATCTGTGTGCGTGTATGATAAAATTAGCAACACAGTTTGCGCAGTTGCCTATACTAAAGCTAAGCTAAGCCATATAATCAATTAAAAGAAGATATTTAGATAAATTATAGCCACGTAAAATAAAAAGAAAGGCTCCCATATAGTTAGGAAAATAGAAAGTGAATAGCAGTGGCAACACTGATGACAAAATGTCAAATTATTAT